GGGTTTACAGAGAATGGTCTGAAAAAGAGGAAATATCCAGTGAGCGGCAGTTCTGTGGGCACAAATGTCTTGATGATGCCAGAGGTCAGAGGAGAATGGCCAGACTGGTTCCAGCTGATAGAAAGGCAACAGTAACTCAAATAAGCACTCGATACAACCGAGATCTGCAGAAGAGCATCTCTGAACTCACAACACATCCAGACTTGAGGCAGATGGGCTACAGCAGCAGAAGACCACACCGGGTGCCGCTCCTGTCAGCTAAGAACAGGAAACTGAGGCTACAATTCACACAGGCTCACCAAAACTGGACAATAGAAGATTGGAGAAACGTTGCCTGCTCTGATGAGTCTCCATTTCTGCTGCCACATTCAGATGGTCGTGTCAGAATTTGGGCCTTACCAACATGAAAGCATGGACCCATCCTGCCTTGTATCAGCGATTCAGGCTGGTGGTGGTGGTGTAATAATGTGGGGGAGATTTTCTTGTCACACTCTGAGCCCATTAGTACCAATAAAGTGGGACTGGGTCTACATTTTCAGTTTAATGAAATATTATACACACATTATAGTTCCTGGGTGATATTTACACAGACCTGCGGATGTGTGCTGGTGGAGAAACGCTGATGCGCTGGCGATGTTCAGACGTGAGCAGATCCTCCAGCGCTCGAGCCGTCAGATGCAGATGAGGAGAGTCTGCGGCCCTGAGGACGGGTCCCTGCATCTCCTGCAGCTCCAGCTGAAGCTCCAGAGCCCTGCTGCGCTCCTGCAGATCCCGCAGCCGCCGCTGAACATCACACATCTCCTTCTGCACAACACAAACATCTGCGTCACAACAACACTCACAGAAAAACAGCTCAATTCTTAAACTTTAAGTCCAACGCCTATTAGAAGTGTTACATCATTTCTACTAAATGAGGAGTCAAGATGTATAATTCCCCATGCAGCAATGGTCGATTCTGATCAGCATTTTTTTCAGCATCAACTGGCCAATTCCAATAGAAATCAATTATCATTATTTAGAAAACATTTTTATTAGACTGCATGTACATATAGTATAATAGTAATTAGTACACCCCCTTTTGAAAAATCATATTTTTACGCATGTATCCATTCATGAATTTACACAAAACAGTTTTATTAAACCGTTATATTCATTAACATCTTTAGGAATAAAAAGATGATGCATTTAATTTATTTTTTTTGCTTCTGTTAATTTCTCCTGTTTATTATAATTGTATTTCATATTTTTTCCTAATATTTAAATTTGGGTGTACTGACATTTGGACTGTGAGCTTAGTTTTTTTTGTTAGATAGTTTTGTTAGATATTTTGTCTTTAATACTGACTGACCTAATGTATATGAACAAATATATTATTGTAAAGCATCCTATAGATATAAAAAAATTAAAAGAAAAATCTCTGAGGGGTGAACTCATTTATGCTGGGCACACAAACACACAGTTAAAGTCAGAATTATTAACCCTCTGAATTATTAGACCCCGTTTAAAGGAGAGAGGATTTTTTCCAACACATTTCTAAACATAATAGTTTTAATAACTCATTTCTAATAACTGATTTATTTTATCTTTGTCATGATGACAGTACATAATATTTGACTAGATATTTTTTAAGACACTTCTATACAGCTTAAAGTGACATTTAAAGGCTTAACTAGGTTAATTAGGTTAACTAGGCAGGTTATGGTAATTAGGCAAGTTATTGTATAATGATGGTTTGTTCTGTAGACTATCGATAAACAAATATTGCTTAAAGGGGCTAATAATTTTGACCTTAAAATGGCTTTTAAAAAATTTAAAACAGCTTTTATTCTAGCCGAAATAAAACAAATAAGACTTTCTGCAGAAGAAAAAATATAATCAGACATGCTTTGAAAATCTCCTTACTCTATTAAACATTGTTTGGGAAATATTTAATAAAGAAAAATAAATTCAAAAGGGGGCTAATAATATATAAATATAATTCTTTATCATTTTAAGTCAACAATCGGAGCATTTGTACTGTAGTGTGTTGTAATGATAAATGACAACATCCGATTGTTACCTGAATCCTCTGTTTCTCCTCTAACAGCGTCTCTCGTGTTTGAGCTCGACTCTGAGAGATGCAGGACCTCTGATCTTCACTCGGGTCACCAGTGCTGTGGAAGAAGTATTTAGAATGATTACAGACTAAAAAATATGCTCGTATTATTATTATTACTATTATTATTATTATTAATTAAGTTATTTTTGAAATGACAGTAAGTGAAATAAAGCTAATATAAAATCAAATGAATTACATCAAATGTGTTTTAAAATAAAAATAAATAAATAAATAAATCAGTATTGTTAATGTGGTAGAAAATATTTTAGAAAAACTACATAGAAATAATGCTTAAAAGTAGAATGACAAAACAACAAATAACTAAAAATAAAATAAATAAAATGAGAACATTAACATAAAAACAAAATAATTTTACCTGTCATTTAACAAATACATATAAAATTCTGTTATGTAAACAAAAGAAAACTAAAATGTTGGTGTTTTAAGTGATACTTATATTATATGAGGATTATAATCAAATACATGTAGCAGAACTATATCACTTGTTTAAATAAAATAGCAGTGCACATTTGTGCATATATTTATCATTTCTCTCGGCTATTTTATCATGAGAATTTTAATCTCGTCAGTTTTCTAAGATAAAATCGATGAGCTCAAGTGTCTGACTGCACACTGTACAAAAATAAACATATGGAAACAATACGTCACAGGAAGTGCTGTTTAGACACATTCCAGCCCCACCTGTCTGACTTCCTGTTTAAAAGGCTTATTTCTGAAGCTTGAGTAAACCAACTAACCTTCAAATACAACACCATTAACACAACTATTCAGAAAGGACACATTTAAATGTATCAAAGGTGGCAATAAAGGGTAAATAATATAAAGGGTATTTTGATCAAATTACATTCTTTGAGCTTTTAATAAAAAAATTAACAGATAATAAACAGAGACGTTTCTTGATCAGCAAATCAGCATATTATAATGATTTCTAAATGATCCATTAATCAAATCAGTCACTTATTCATTTATATAGCGCATTTACACGCAACAGTGCATTGACCAAAGAGCTGTACACCACTAAACTAACAAAAAATATTAATAAATAATTAAAAATCCAAACATAAAAGATGATATCAGGATATACAGTAAAACAAAGAGAAAGAAGAGGATACATCAATGGCTCAGTATACACTACCTGACAGTCTTGTAACCTATCCAAGTTTTAGGAATAGCAAATAATCACTTGACTTCTAGTTGATCATTTGGTGTCAGAAGTGTCTTATATGAAAGGTAAAGTCTCTAGATTTTGCTTATTTGAGCACAATAAACTATGATCATGCCTTGATTTTGAATGATTTCATTAGGACAGTAAGGTCTGACTCTGCTTAGACTAAAGTGTCATCACTGAACAGAAATAATGTCCAGTATAGAATATAAAGTCCTGCTGCAGTGGAGACAGAATGAATATTGTGTCTGACTCCATCATGAGCTTGGAGGACTGCATCTATACATCTCTGACATGACTCACATCACCGATTAATAAAGTCATCTGGAATGCCAAAGAAAGCGTTCCTGCAGGACTCCCAGAGCTCATAAAGACTCTTTGTGGTTATCTTCATTGCCTCCTCCATCTTACCCAAGACATGCTCAATAATCTTCATATCTGATGACTGGGCTGGCCAATCCTGGAGCAGCTTGACCTTCTTTGCTTTCAGGAGCTTTGATGTGGAGGCTGAAGTATGAGAAGGAGCGCTATCCTGCTGGAGAATTGTCCCTCTCCTGTGGTTTGTAATGTAATGGGCAGCACAAATGTCTTGATACCTCAGGCTGTTGATGTTGATCATCCACTCTGCAGATCTCTCGCACGCCCCCATACTGAATGTAAACCCAAACCATGATTTTTCCTTCACCAAACTTGACTGATAACTGTGAGAGTCTCGGCTCCATGCTGGTTCCAGTAGGTCTTCTGCAGTATTTGTGATGATTGGGATGCACATCAACAGATGATTCATCAGAACAATCCACCTTCTGCCACTTTTCCAAATGATCAACTAGAAGTCAAGTTATTATGTGTTGCTCTTACAACTGGACTTTTGTCAGGTAGTGTAGTTGCAGATTATTAGAATGATTTCATGACTGAAGACTGGAGTAATGATGCAGAAAATTCAGCTTTGAATAACAGGAATAAATGACATTTTAAAATCTATTCCAACACAAGACACTTATTTTAAACTGTAATAATATTTCACAAATTGACCATATTTTTTTGCTTGAATTACTGCAGCTTTGTATAGTATAATTGTGATATTTTCCTACCTGCAGTCTGAGTCTGTCCTGTGGATGGCGCTGTTCACTGCTGTTCTGAGCCGCTCCAGATATCCAGTGACTTCAGGGTGTCTGGATGGAAGTCCAGGCTTAAGTGTCGCTCTTTCTCTTCTCAGTTCCTCCAGTTTCTTACCAAAACGCTCAGCTAAACACACAAAAAATAAATACATAAAAATCTGATTTGATGTGAAAGGCAGCTTTTATTTGATGGGATAAACAATAACATAACAAACACAAATCTAACACTGCAGGAAGTGTGTGTGTGTGTGTGTGTGTGTGTCTGTGTGTACATGTTTTTGTGACAAATCAGGACACAAATCTGTATAATGACACAGGTATTACAAGAAAGTGGTGAGATATGAAGACACTGCTGACGTCCTCATTTGTCTAAAAGCTTATTAATCACACTGAATGAGTTTTTATCACAAAGTAATACTGTACAGCAGGGCTTCTCAAACTCATTCCTGGAAGGCCTGCAGCAGGTATACACACACACACACACGCACACGCACACGCAAGTGAATGCTGCTCTCTCATTGGCTGTAGGCGATGGCTGATGTTATTTTCAGTCAAAACTCAATTCACACGGCATGATTTGAATCGCCGACAGCTCCAGATATTCAGCACGCCAAATATCTCAGGCATCGGCGACTCATCGGCGATTCTCTCAGATCGCGTCTTTGATAATTCATACTGTGTGATTGTCACTCACGTGCACGAGCAGCGATTTTCCTGTGATTTCAGGCATTTGTCGGCGATTTTTCAAAACCTGTCGGCGAGCCAAAATCGGGGCTAAAATCACGCAGTCTGAACTAGGCATTAGGCTAGCTAATCAAGCTCCTAAGCTGCGGTCACACTAGACTTTTCTCCCCATAGACTTTTATTCATACACACGCGGATGCGTTTCGCAGTTTGCTGCGTTGGAAAGTTTAGGCTTGGTGAACTCTGACCTGTGAAATCGCATCACTTGACAGCGTGAGACCAATCGAGGATCAAAACATGACCTCTCTAGACAGAAATTTAAAACATGGAGCAATTGCTCGCTTTTTTAAATGTCTAATTATCTTTTTTAATCCCGCCCCTTTTCGCAACACCATACAACAGAATTTCACATGCTCAAACTCTAGTGTGATCGCAGCTTTAGGCTTTCTAGAAACACTCTTGCAGGTGTGTTGAGGCAAGCTGGAGCTAAAATCTGCAGGACTCCGGACCTCCAGGACAGACTTTGAGGCAGTACTCACACAATGTACAGTTGCACCAGGAAAAAGCCTCCCTCCCGTCTCCCCCAACGGCCCGCACTCACATTACATTCGGGCCTGGGCGCGCTTACGTCATCGTTGATACGACGGTCAGAAGCGCTCTCTCTCAGCACAGAGGAGATTTCTTCAGTTATATCGCTTTGGGATGCGGTGACACGCAGTCAGATATTTCGCCGAACAGATCAGCCTCTTTTGGATCTCATAAACAATCAATGTTCTCGTGCTGCAGAAATTAGGAGGTTTGCTGAAGGTGCAGCTGTCGTGCAGTGAGGGGTTTGCGTCTTTTATAAACTACGGCAGTTTGCGTTCACTGAACAGTAAGAATGATTAATAAATATGAAACAGTCTCTTAAAAGTCACGTCTCGCTTTCAGTTTCGGGTGAGCCCAAGTGAACCGCGCTCAGGCCCACCTTTTCCAACCGGGCCAGAGCCGGCCAAGTGAACCGTGCCTTAGCCTGATTCAGTGCACTCACACTTCTCAAACGATCCGGGAAACGGGCCTGGGCACGGTACGGATAGCATAGTGTGAGTAGACCCCGATAACCCCTGCTGTATACAGTTTCCTTTAAGGGTTAGATTTAGGGGTAGGGTGGGGTTAGGCCAATACAAAATACAGCCTGTACAGTATAAAAACCTATGTAATGTCCTTACAACTTGTAAAAAAAAACAAACGTGTGTGCGTTTCTCTGTGTGTTTGTCAGACAGACTGAACAAAACAAAACAAACACTGACCCACTTCTCTGGGAAATGTCCAGTTAAGTAAGTCACAAGGCTTGTCCGGCTCAAAAGGAAGAATAAATAAATGTCCAGCTGACAAATGTAGGTCAATCATCTGATCTGATCAAATCCAGAAGTAACATCATTAGATCTTACACATAGATCTTGACACAAAGGGATGTTTTTTTTTTGAGTACTAAAAACTCGGGTGGAGGAAATTAATGCTATTTTATTTGCATGGGAAAATACATCCACATAGGTGATGATCAGTGTTGGGGAGCAACTAGTTACATGGTTTTCATAATTTAATTACAAAATAAATGTAACTGTAATTCGTTAAGTTACTGAGAAACAAAAAAGTGCAATTAAATTACAGTTACTTATGAAAATGGTAAAGATTACAAATAGTTTATTTCTTCGGCATTTAATACAGTGCAGACACATCTACTTTTAGAGAAGTTGGATAACATGGGTGTCAGTACTTTCTTAATTAAATGGTTTTACTCTTTTTTTTTTTTTTTTTTTAAGTAACAGAGCTCAGCAGGTGAGGGTTAATGGGACACTTTCTGAGGTCAGATATAGTAATACAGGAGTGCCACAAGGTTGTGTTTCATTGCCTTTGCTTTTTTCCTTTTACACAAATGATTGCAGGAGCACACATTTTAATAATTATATCATGAAATATGCTGATGGCACTGCCATTTTAAGTCTCTTACACAAAGACATGGACCTATCATCCTACCACAGTGAAATCGATCATTTCACTCAGTGGTGTGATAAGAACTGTCTTGTGTTAAATGTAAAAAAGACACAAGAAATGGTACTTGACCCACGAAGTGTTTCTGAACACAGGCCTGTGATCATTAAAAGACAGTGATACAGCAAGTCACATCTTACAAATACCTGGGGTTTTATATGGAGAGTGTTTTTTGTTGGAGAACACACATTGAGGGTCCTATCATACACCCGGCGCAAGGCGTGGCGCAATAGTCTTTTGCTAGTTTCAGCTTGGCGCAAGAGTGGTTTTGAGGCGTTGCGCTACGCTGTTTACATAGCAAATGCATTAGCGCTCATTTGTGCGCCCATAGGCATTCTGGTCTAAAAAGGGAGGCGTTCTGAGGCGGACCGCTGGCGCGTCGCTATTTTAAGAAACTATAATAGATTTTTCATTAGACCAAAACAAAACTCCTAAATCTAAACTCCGGTGCAGAGTTGCGCCTCACTTACACACTGCTTAATACACACAAGAGAGCAATAGGCAAATATCTTTACATATGAAAAAATGTAAATATTAAGGATTTATATAGGATATAATAAGAATAGATATAGGATATAAATATAAAGGATTAAAATATTACAAAACATATTATTTTCTAGCCTACATAAATATGAAAAATCACTGCTTTTATGTCTTCTTCATCTCGGGAGGCTTTTTCAGTTCATTCAATTTGCTTTTGTATAATGTTATTATTATTAGCAGTATTATTTATTATATCCATATTTATATTTGTTTTATTAAAAACAAGCTTAGATTTGCCCACCTGCAGGTTTTAGACCATATGGGGCACAGCATGTGTTTTAGGATATAACTCAGGTTTTGAGCACATTTCATTATTATTATTCATTTATTCGTTTGCTGGAAATTAGAACTGAATTTAGAAATAGTTTTGAAACAAATCTTTGTGCTTAACAAACAAAATTATTTATTTATAGACTAATTGATGTCTGTGCGTAAAGGTTTCCCTATCCAAGAGCGAAAGTGAAAGTAGATCCATTATCTCTCATTCTCACGCAGTAGATGCTCTGTTTAACAGCTTTCTGTTAAAAAACTGTGAACTGTTTGCTTGTGAAATGCTCATTTTTTCCACTTAGACTTACTTTGCGTCCTGTAAATAGCGAATGCGCTCTTGGCGTGACGCAGCTGACTCTTAAAGGGAATGGGAGATGAGACTCTGATTGGTTTATTCTCAAAACACACCTATAACTCATTAAGAAAATAAACTCAACCCTTTTAGACCATGCGCCATGGCGCAAGGCAGATTTCCCGTCCTTAAATTAGCAAAAACACGCCCTGACACGCCCTGAAAGCGTTTGCGCCCTGCGTTTTGCGCTCTGTGCATGGACCGTCAAAATAGAGCCCTGACATGCACACAACTACAACAGAGGCTTTATTTCTTAAGAAGGCTGAGATTGTATAGGGTGGGTAGCCATATCTTGCTTGTTTTTTACCGAGCTATGTTTGAGAGTATTATTTGCTATGGAATCACAGTCTGGTTTGGAAACCTGTCTGTTCAGTTGAAAAATAAATTGGTTCATATGCAAAAAACAGCCATGAAAATTATAGGAATAAAACAATATGAGCCCATCCAGACTCTATACGAACAGGCGGCTATGAAAAGAGCGATACGTATTAGCGCTGATTCTAAACATCCCCTTTTCAGTAAATATCAGCTGTTACCATGAGGAAAAGACTGAGAATGCCAATGTGTAAAAATAATAGACTGAAGCTTTTGTTTGTTCCTACCTCGATAAAACTGTTGAACTCTACCAATAACACTGCTCCTGTAGTACACTAGCACTTGACTGGGTTCTGTGTTTTATATATTTATACTTATATACAGTCCTATTCTGTAAACAATGTATGTTCTTAACTGTTTGTTCTTAATTGTTTTGTTTGATTTATTTTTACTGTCTGTTTAGACAATGTTGTAGCACCTTTTTTGCCCAAGACAAATTTCCTCTCGGGGACAAATAAAGTTTAACCTAACCTGGTTACATCTAAAAATATTCTTTAAAAATCTGGGATATGTTGAATAATATTAATCTGTTGCTTTGTCTGTTTTTGATATGCATGATGCCTTCTGCTAAGGCCGTTTATTAAAGCAGTGCTATTCTCCTATAACTATATGTCTCAGCAGTGTGGCCGTAGCGTTGCTACTTTCTAAATCCAATAGCTTTCCAGTAATGAAGCTATTTTATTAGTGAAGTAGCGCAGTATAGCGTCCACACAAGCAACATTTACCAATCGCAGATCAATAAGTGACGGCACTGACATTCACAGAGCTGTGAGGCCGGTGTGTAGCCAGTGAAAATAAAGCCATAAGACGGCGAGAATGACGATTTCTCTTGTGGTCAACAACAAACTTTTTGGTGTGTTACTACCACCTCTCTCTCTAGTCGGTGATGTCGCCGATTAGGCTAACACAAGAAATTTGCTTAAATTTATAAAGTAATTAAAATGGTACACTACTTATTACAATTTAAATAAGGTAATTTGTAATTTATTACAATTACAAAGTAACCTCCCCAACATTTGTGATGATACTCTGATGCTTGAGTCCATGAAAAGCACACGTCATTATGTGTTGAACCAGCAGATGGCAGTGTTTGACACTGAACCAAAGAACTGTTTAAAAATAGCATGGGAACCAGAACACATGCAAAGATACTGACAAATCTTTAAATATAATAATACTGTATGCATTCTTCAGGGGCAAAGGTTGGGGGATCATTATAAAATGTAAAAATGTTTATTTTAAAGAGCCATTTTGAACATTTGTGTATCTCCTGAGGTAAACTAGAGTGTGCATTGCTTCGGAATCTAATGGCAATCCTTCAAATTGCCTGTAGTAAATGCGATGGAGAGAAGACACAGGCGAACAAAGTAATTTTTTTCTGTTAATTTAGTGTACAAAAGTGTTCTTGGAGCTTCGTATAATTACAACTGAACCACTGATCATCATCATCATCATCATCATCATAATATATATATATACATATATATATATATATATATATATATATATATATATATATATATATATATATATTTTTTTTTTTTTTTTTTTTTTTAATGCTATGTCAGCAACAAAGGCTATTTTCATGGCAAAAACATTTAATTGATAAATACACAATTAAAACAAACACAAACAAATGAATCAGGGTTTCCACGCATTCATGAAATGAAGATTCAAGGACTTTTTAAATCAAGAACCTTTGCAATTCATACCCCAGCATATGTAGCTGCCATAAAAGTCTGTACTGCACTTAACATTTCACTTACATTTACAATATTTACATTAAAAACAGAGCAATTTTGATTTTAAGTACTTGAATCCATATTTCTGAAACTCAAGTATATGTTTAATGACTTTCACGAAGTGTGGGAACCCTGTGTATACATCAATTATGATTAGGTTCCTTTTCTGGACTTTGAGCATCTCGGGGCCCTTGCGGTCTATGAAGGAGCTCTTGGATATCATCTAAAATATCTTAATTTGGTTTTAGAAGATGAATGAAGGCCTCGGGGGGTTGAAATAACACGATGGGAAATAAATATTAACAGAATATAAATGTTTGGGTGTACTAATCCTTTAATTTGCAGTGTCTACAGAACTGATACAGAAGCTGATGAGATTGACTGTGTGTTACTGCCACACAAACATACACATGGGAACATTAATCACACGTCTGCCGTCTGGTTTGCTGAGTTCAGACAATCAGCTGGGAGAGTTTGGGTGTGTTTGAACACCACAAGCATGTGTCCAAACCATATCTGTGTTCTGTTCTCAGCTGTGGACTTACAGGGACATAAAACTGCAGTGAAAGATAACATATGGAGTTTGGCCGTCATTTAAGATTAAAATATGATGCAATGACCACACCAACAAGTTCATATTTAGAATTCACATAAATAAAATGATATATGTAACATATATTTCAAAGTAATTTACATATTTCTTATATGTACATACAATTGAGGTCAGAATTATTAGCCCCCTTCAATTATTAGAGCCCCTGTTTATTTTTTTTTCTCCAATTTCTGTTTAACCGAAAGAAGATTTCCTCAACACATTTCTAAACATAACAGTTTTAATAACTCAACTCTAATAACGGATATACCTTGTCTTTGTCATGATGACAGGAAATAATATTTGACTAGATATTTTTCAAGACACTTCTATACAGCTTAAAGTTACATTTAAAGGCTTAACTAGGTTAATTAGGGTATATGCCAAAGCATGCTAGTAGGACTTTTAATTTGACAGTAACCTGGGTTAAGCGCTTCCGGCGAACTGAATGACAATGCAAAAACCGGTGCGTTTAAGGTCTGTTTTCTTTAAAAATCAGCGATCTCCAATAGCTGAGTGATATCCGATTAAAAGTGGGCCTCAGATTGTACAAGAAGCACTGCATCAAATTACATTTTCCACCTCCATGTCTTTATAATATGACCATTTATTTTACCCCAGTTTATTCAAAGGAGCTTCTGCGCTAGCCTGCCGATTCTGATGGGCGAGTGCGAGTAAACAGCTTTTTCTCCCGTTTTACGTTTGAGCAACTAAATAAACGTCAAAGTTTATTTAACTGAATGTATTTTAATAACATTACAACATAGTTGCTGTAAAAGGAACCGTATAAAATGGGAAAAAAAGTTCACAATAGCAGGTCAACGGAAGATTATCAGCATGGGAACAGCACTACCCCATTAGGTTAACTAGGCAGGTTAGGGTAATTAGGCAAGTTATTGTATATTGATGGTTTGTTCTGTAGACTATCGGGGAAAAAAATTGCTTAAAGGGGCTAATAATTTTGTCCTTAAAATGGTGTTTAAAAAATTAATAACTGCTTTTATTCTAGCCGAAATAAAACATACAAGGCGTTCTCCAGAAGAAAAAACATTATCAGACATACTGGGAAAATTCCCTTGCTCTGTTAAACATCATTTGGGGAAAAATAATATCTAAATGAAAAGTCGGCTAATAATTATGACTTCAACTGTATATGTTCAAATATATTAGCTATAATTGTATATGCTTTGTATGTTTTCCAGCGTTATGGATGTGACATCTGCAGTCAAAACTCAAAACATAAATTCACATAGAAAGCGTATGTTAACATTACATTGAAACATCTGTTTATATTTTCCAGAACAACGCACCACAGAGTTGTGGGATCAGAAATAAAACAGCATGTAAACATGTTTTGTACTTTAAAAGAGGAAAATAAACATGCGTTATAGATGTGACCAAAAAAAGTATGCGAGTTTGCAGTATACAACATACTTTGTAGAAACTCTGTGAATTAAACTGCACAACCCAAAAGAAATGATGCTAATTAAAAGGATAAAATATGTCTCTCTATAAAACAAAAATGACTGACTTTATTTTATTTGACATTCTTGCATTTATGAGAAAAATATTGGGTCCCACTTTATTTTAAGTGGCCTTAACTAATATGTACTTACACAGGAATTAATAGTTTGTTAATGTACTTATTGTGTAAATACATGTATTTACTGTATACTTATGCTTGATTACATACATGTATGTAATTACATCTGTAATTAACTTTTGTAATTAGATTTGTAAATACACTGTTGACCATCCCTTACACCTCAACCTCCCCTTAAACCTACCCACACCACCAAACCTGTCCATATCCCAACCCCTATCCCAACTAAAAAGCACCACAAGTGTTCTCAAATACATTATAAACACAGTAAGTACATTGTATTTATTTTTTGATGCAAGTACATCGTAGTTAAGGACACTTAATATAAAGTGGGACCAAATATTGTCGTTACGGATGTGACATCTCTCCATTATGGATGTGACCCATGTGAAATTGGCACTTGTGTGACTTTCGTAAATCAAATATAATTGTTTGAAAACATTGACAGAGACATTTTTGACTATTTCTAAAGTACTGTGAAATACAAGCCTACACAAAAAACATTAAATATATGAAATCCAAATAAAAACATGTATTAAGTATGCTATTTGCATGTTTCCATATATTAGATTTCAATATGGGTGTATAGTTTTAGAATAAGTACATATTAAAAAAAACATCTTCTCTGTAAATAAAAATATATGATCAAAACATGTCTGACCTGTGTCATAATCATCATCCAGAATGGCTTTGTGCTGTAATCTCTGAAGCTTCATCATTATGGACTCGATCTAATGAGAGAAATCATTATGAAAGTTATACTATATACTAAATCACAGCATTAATGTAAATGTAATGTAATGTGTATTTATATAGCGCATTTATTGTGTATGGCCATACACCCAAAGCGCTTCACAATCATGAGGGGGGGTCTCTCCACACCACCACCAGTGTGCAGCATCCACTTGGAGCATATGTAGTGCGCTCACCACACACCAGCTATTGGTGGAGTGGAGGGACAGTGATAGAGCCAATTAGGTGGAAGGGGATGATTGGGAGGCCATGATCGTAAGGGCCGATAGAGGGACTTTGGCCAGGACACCGGGGTTAAACCCCTACTCTTTCACGAGAAGTGCCATGGGATTTTTAATGACCCCAGAGAGTCAGGACCTCGGTTTAACGTCTCATCCGAAAGACGGCGCCCACTGACAGTATAGTGTCTCCTTTACTTTTACTGGGGCATTAGGACTTGCACAGACCACAGGTTGAGCGCCCCCTGCTGGCCTCACTATCACCACTTATAACAGCAACCTGGTGTTCCCTAGTGGTCTCCCATCCAGGTACTGACTAGGCTCATCCCTGCTTAGCTTCAGTGAGTAACCGGTCTTGGGCTGCAGGGTGACATGCCAAATTATATAAATATAATTTTAAAACAAAACTAGACTGTTTCTTTTATAAACGATTTGACCTTCTTTGGATATTTTTTCTTGTCTTCAATATATTATGAGACACACTTCATTTATTTGTTTGACACATAAAATATTGTGCCAAGGCAGTGGAGCAGTAGGTTGTGCTGTCGCCTCACAGAAAGAAGGTCGCTGGTTCGAACCTCGGCTCAGTTGGCGTTTCTGTGTGGAGTTTACATGTTCTCCCTGCCTTCGTGTGAGTTTTCTCCGGGTGCTCCGGTTTCCCCCACAGTCCAAGGACTGTGGTACAGGTGAATTGGGTAGGCTAAATTGTCCGTAGTGTATGAGTGTGCGTGTGAATCTGTGTGTGGATGTTTCGCAGAGATGGGTTGCGGCTGGAAGGGCATCCGCTGAATAAGTTGGCGGTTCATTCCGCTGTGGCGACCCAGGATTAATAAAGGGACTAAGCAGACAAGAAAATGAATGAATAAATAAAATATTGTTCTGGAGGCAAAAGTGAGTGTCTACCCAGCACTAGTCAGGTGTACCTAATAAAGTGGCCGGCGAGTATATAACAACCCTGATATTGAACATTTCTTATAGGAACACTTAATAAATAATTGTATTCAGCTATAATTTTTTTTATATTTATAATGAATTAAAAAAAAATCTTAAAATAAAAAAGTAAATTATATTTGAGAAATATATTTTTGATAAAAAAAAAATATTACAGTATGAAAGTAAAGATAAACTTGATCCTCACTTAAAACTAGTATTTATTGTGTTGTTCTCACCTTGGTGTTTGTGCGATTGTTTTGCAGACAGTCTTGCAGAAAATCCTCATACTTCTTCATTAAACCATCCTGACTCTGATCTGAGGACGGTGTGGTGCTTTCATATCCAGACGAAGTCGAGTCTGAAGAGTCAATGGAGTGTGAAGACGTGATTTCAGCGTCCAGAGAGCCAGAATCCGAATCCTGGATGTTTTCTTTTGTATACTTAGACATAATGGAGGACGAGGTCTGCAAGTCCAGATCCACCAACCACAGCTCTCGGTCCAATAGCAGACCTTTCTGCTGCGCCGACTGACCAATCGAACAAGGCAAATGTCTCAAAGAAAAAAAATCAGGTTCTGATTGGCTTAATGAGACCGTGCTTGTTTCTGATTGGTTCATTGGAACAGTGACTGATTCTGATTGGCTTAAGTGATTTATTAAATTAGATGAAGGTTTTAAAAACCCTGAGTTTGATTGGCTTACTGGGATAGAGCTGGTTTCTGATTGGTTCATTGGAATAAGCACAGTTTCTGATTGGTTCAAGTGATTCATTAAAGCAGATGGAGGATTTAAAAAGTCTGCATTTGATTGGCTCACTGGGATGGTGCTGTTTTTTGTTTGGTTCATTGGAATAGTTATGGTTTCTGATTGGTTCATTAAAACAATGCTGGATTCTGGTGGGGTCAAGTGTTTCATTAAATCAGACAGAGGTTTTAAAAATCCTGAGTTTGATTGGCTTTTTGGGGCACTGCTGGTTTCTGATTGGTTGATTGGAACACTGGTGGTTTCCGATTGGCTTAAGTGATTCATTAAAGCAGACAGAGGTTTTAAAAAGCTTGATTTTGATTGGCTTACCGGGACAGTTCTGGTTTCTAATTGGTTCATTTGAACAATGCTGGTTTCTGATTGGCTCAAGTGATTCATTAAATCAGATGGAGGTTTAAGAAAGCCTGAATTTGAAGTTTTAGACTTCAGCTGGTGCCCTGACGCTGATTCAGATTGTTTGTGTTCAGTTCTGGGTGAATAGCATGTGTTTACATCTAATAAATCGCTAGTGTCTAGCGACTGTTGAATGAAACTGAAACTGGAATTGAAAACATCACGTGATTGCACTGGTAAATTGTCCTCCTCATCATGCAAATGGTGTTTATTTGAAGACTTTGATGAGTTGTCTCTCTCGAAACCCTCTGTCAGCCATTTCTCGCCAAGTAATTCTGAAGCACTCTTTTGAGTGTTCTCCACAGCAGGCGACTTGGAAATAGGACTTCTGTGATGTTCAGAATCACATGATGTTTCTGCAACGTCCAGCTGGTTAATCGGCTCAGACCGCATGTATCCGGGCCGTCTGAAGCTCCTCCTGCGGTGGTTTCCCGAAGGATTCACACCACCTGTTGAGCACAGATTACAGATTAAACTTCTTAGTCTCAATAACCAACTGTGAGAAGTAATTTATAGCTGGATATCCGACATGCAAACTTTCACAATGGCATTTTTGTAAACAAATAATGACCCATGACAGCTGCATTCATGTGACTGAGCAATAAAATTAGTGTGATCCGTGCAATACAGCTGTTGAGAAATGAAACCAACTTGCAAATGAGGAAATGCAAGATGAAAACAACTTAAGATATATTACATCCCTCACTTACTCAAGAAAAACAATTGAGCAAATTCACTCAACATCTATTTGCGTCAAACATGGTTTATTACAATTTAAGATAATTCATAGGCTGCACTTTCCTAAAAGCAAATTGTCAAGAATATTCCCAGAAATTGACCCAGCATGCTCTAGGTGCCAAAGAGAGATAAGGCCACCTTAGGTTATATGTTCTGGACATGTCCATCAATAAGACCATTTTGGACTGCGGTGTTTGAGACTTTTTCTTATACAAGTGAAAAGGAGATACAACCAGATCCAGTAATGGCAATATTTGGTGTGACACCTGAAAACCTTACACTACCAGAAGGTCAATTAAATGCACTAGCGTTCTCCTCTTTGTTGGCCCTAAGACTTAAGCTGTTTCTCAATATGCGTTCTTGTCTGTACTTGCGTTCTTGTGTCCTCGTGAAACGTCATCAACCGTTGCCAAAGTACTGCTCCAATTCTAAAGTTCACATCTTACTAGGTACACATGAAATACCCGGATGTGTACTTGCTCTGCCCCTTTGGCCAAGGATGCATCGAGAGCATAGACTGTAAAATATATGGACGTAGGATCCGGAGAGTGAGCGGAGCTACCGACACCTGCTAGCATTTAGCTTGGACCTGGTTCAGACACACTTTACTTTGGGAGAAATGCTTTATACTTTATCACCTGTGACTCGTTTGTATTCTGACCACTTGTGCTTTGTTGTACACTATATAAATAAAGTGTTTAGACTTTTAAAAACACTGCTGTAACACATTGAGCCACTAAACATTGTTCTTATGACGTTTTTCAACAGGAGGAAAACGCAAATTACTTCCAAACACCTCAGATACAGTCTGTATTAGTTAATGTTAGACTATTGATGAACTCCAGCATAACACTGTATGACAACGCTTCAGATGACTGTTCTAGAGCCCACAGCTAATCAATCTGTCAGATTCTGGAGTGCATTACAGCTCTAAATATAAATTTAAACGATAAATGATCCTAAATAAAACAAATACATGTATAGAGATGGTATATAAGTATATAACTTTACTCACATGGGAAACGGAGGCCACGTGAATGGTTTGTGAGCACAATTAAGTGCACTCAGCATTGCTTGCCATCTAATAATTGTAGGAAACAAGTCCAAAAGGCAGCTGACTGTGTAAAGCCACATAAAACAACACAGAAATACGATAAATATGGCGAGTTCAGTGGCTAATCTGCCGGATTCAGCTGAGGTGACGGGACGGAGACCAACGAGACCTAGCTGTCACTCAAGTGGCCACGCCCTTAATTATGCAAACTTAATATAACTTAATATAAAGGAAACGGATGAGTTATAAAAAAATTCACCCCCTCACAGTTGTCATGAAGGGTAATATTAGCTGTGTTAACCAAAATCTTTTTTGTACCAGGCTGTAAACACCTTTTTTTCTGCTGTAAAGTTGGCCATTCAACAGTGGGCTCAATTGAAATTTGCTCTGTTTTGGAGCCAGGAGCGGCCACGAGTAGCGGAATTTCGGATGAAGTGCAGTTTTAGTTACTTCCGTATTGGCTTCCTGAGGGAGAGCGGGAGGTTGCCGCTTGATCGAGAGGTGACTTGTGCGAACTTGCGAAGCTCAGGTATCCCAGAATGCATTGCAGCGTAACCAGCAAGCGCTAATGGCGGAGGAGGAAACCCGCACAGTTTTAAAAATACTCCTTTACTGTGTCACAAAATAAAGTTTTAACAGTTTTTCAGGTGAGAATTTAGTTGTTTTAAACTCGAATCGGCAGTTTATTCACAAAGATAGCGCTTCTTTGATGACGTGCCTCGGCCTATGCGGACTCTGACTCCCAGCCTGCCAGCGGGAGCTCTGTCATCAGCTCTCCCGCCAGAGCAGCTTTACTTCGGCCAGGCCATCTCGGATGTACCGCTGGATCTCATCTCTCCATCGTAGTTAAAACATGATATGTATTACATCTTGTGATTATCTAACGGACAGTTTTTGGTCTTATAAATCTATTATTTGTTCTCAGGTGTATTATTTTGGCAGTGTTATTTTGTTACTTTTTATAATTGTCTTTAATTATGTTACCGTGTTGTACGCTGTTTGTCTTTGTTTACCGAATTGTTTAACCTAATCTTTATTTCTTATCGTGTATGTCTTTATTTCTTATTGTGTGTATACTTACCATTGTAAGTTAGTTTAATAAATCTGATAATCAAAGACACGTGTCTGTGTATAATAACACATTTTTATTCACATTTATACAAATATGTGTACATTTTCCAAAATCAAAAATGTAGATTTATAATATTAATATAATATTAATTAAATCATTTTATTCATAATGTACAGTGAAACTGATGAATCCATGTTGAGGTAAGTGACGTTATGAAGTACACTGCTGTTCCATTTGAAGTACCTGACTTGTGTCTTCGCGTCCTCTAGAGTTCATTCTTCCAAGTCTGAACTTCCAAGGACGCAAGTCCGAACTTTGCTTACTTGGTATTGAGAAACAGCCTTGTACTTTTGCAGTGGAAGTCAGCTAAACCACCAACACATACTAAATGGGTAGAAAATGTCATGGCGTTTCTAAAGCTTGAAAAACTTAAAAATAGCACCCAGGGCTCAAATAATAGATTCTTCAAAGTTTGGAGACCTTTCCTGTCATATTTTGAGAACAGATTTATTCCAAATACTTGAAATATTTGAAATATTTAAAAATACTTATTTTTTGTGCCTTTTACCTTTTTCTTTATAATTAATATTATTTCACCTTGTATTTGTTTTTCATTTTGAATGTACCTTGTTCCTGTATATGTTTGAGTTGCTCTGTTTAAAAGTTCAATAAAAAGATTTGTCTACTACCACTTACTCAAGAAAGCATAAAAACATTTAGGATGATCCATCTCACTCAGATCATCATCTGTTGAAAATGTTGCCATCAGGAAGATATTTCAGATCCAATAAAAGAGACATATGATGTTGCTTTTTATAAGCTGTAAAAAAAGTCTCTGATGTCCCTAAAATGTGTAAGTTTAAGCTCAAAATACAACACAAATGTTTTATGACTCTTAGAAACTGATGCTAACTGTGCCAATTTGGTGAATGTCGCTTTAAAATTTAATAAAGATTATGATCTTTTTAAAAAGAGGACGGAGCTACAAACGCTTATGTGTCAGTGTAACCCCGCCGGTCCTACACCACCCACTCTTAGAGCTGGGATAGAACCGGCGACTTTACGCATGGGAGTTGGTTGCTCAAACAAGGAGGCGAAAGACCATGGCCTCTAGCATCTGTCGCTAGAACACCTTTAGAGGTCAGAGGAGTGAGGTTTACCTGCACAGCACTCACTAGCTTGGCCTCTGCTACACTCACCGCCCTAAACCTCACTCACATCCGGGTCACGGCACCAATGTAACCCCGCCGGTCCTACACCCCCCCAACCCGCTCCAAGCTGGGATCGACTGGTGACTTTCAGGTCAGAGGAGGTCAGAGGAGTGAGGTATACCTGCACAGCACTTACTAGCTGGCCTCTGCTACATCAGCATAGTGGCAGATTCAAAACTCTAATGGCGGATGGCTGCTTCTCACTCAGGGCTGTCTATGCTAATTAACTCATTACAACTGTTTGGGGTTGTTTTGTAATTTATGCCAAAATATTGACAATTTAACATCGGTTAATATTCAATTCAATGTTCATTTCTATAGTGCTTTTACAATGTAGATTGTGTCAAAGAAGCTTAACATAGAAGTTCTTATAAATTAAAACGGTGTCAGTCCAGTTTTTACAGTTGAAGTTCAGTTTTAGGGTTGAGCGATGTCGACCAATTTGGCTTTGTACAATGTCTAATGGGAAACATCGCGATGGACTATGGCATTGTCATTGTGGGTGTTGGTGAATTTATTATTCATAAATATTTAATTAATTAATTAATTAATAATGAATTAATTATTTGTATCCTACCGTTTAACTACCTGACCCGCATGGTCTTTGTTTTACCCAGAACCAAGTCATAAATAAATAAAGATAAGTCACACACAAATTATCACCTGTCAATCACTTTTTCAGCAGGACTCTGGCATGAATAGGCAGATTGATCTAATATAAAAAAGCAGCACTTATTAGTTATTATATTTTCATTCCATTTTTGGTTTAAAATTTAGTTCTTTTTTTTGAGTTCTTACTAGTTTATGTTTACAGTTATTATCATATATTTTTTTTCATAATTGAAGTTTTAGTATTAAGTTAAATGTTTTAATAAAAAATAAGGAAAAACTTCATTGGCAACCAAAATGTTGCTTTTAATCTTTAATTTTAGTTATGTTTTTAAAATGATTTTAAAAGTATTATTTTTTATTAAAACTACAAAATATTGAATTTGTATTCGGGTTTATTCAGTAATAAAAATACACTATTTTAAAATAAATATTTAAATGCAAAAAAAATTATATATAATAATACAAATAATAAAATAATAAAACCTTCAGGAGATATTTTATCATATTTAAACATTCATTCATTCATTTTCCTTCTGCTTAGTCCCTTTATTCATTAGGGGTTGCCGCAGAGGAATAAACTGCCAACTTATCCAGCATATGTTTTACACAGCAGATGTCCTTCCATCCGCAACCCACTACTGGCAAACACCCTGAGCAAACTCCTCAAACCAGTGGCATTCTTGCTGTGAGGCCACAGTGCTAAACACTGAGCCACCCCATATTTAAACAATCCAATTTAAATAAAAATAAAAAAATGTTTAA